CAGAATTGTTACTCAGGGACACAGAATTGTTACTCAGGGACAGACACAGAATTGTTACTCAGGGACACAGAATTGTTACTCAGGGACACAGAATTGTTACTGAGGGACACAGAATCGTTACTCAGGGACACAGAATCGTTACTCAGGGACACAGAATCGTTACTCAGGGACACAGAATTGTTACTCAGGGGACACAGAATTGTTACTCAGGGACATTGTTACAGAATTGTTACTCAGGGACACAGAATTGTTACTCAGGGACACAGAAATGTTACTCAGGGACACAGAATCGTTACTGAGGGACACAGAATCGTTACTCAGGGACACAGAATTGTTACTCAGGGACACAGAATTGTTACTCAGGGACACACAGAATTGTTACTGAGGGACACAGAATTGTTACTGAGGGACACAGAATTGTTACTCAGGGACACAGAATTGTTACTCAGGGACACAGAATTGTTACTCAGGGACACAGACACAGAATTGTTTACTCAGGGACACAGAATTGTTACTCAGGGACACAGAATTGTTACTCAGGGACACAGAATTGTTACTCAGGGCACAGAATTGTTACTCAGGGACACAGAATCGTTACTGAGGGACACAGAATCGTTACTCAGGGACACAGAATCGTTACTCAGGGACACAGAATTCGTTACTCAGGGACACAGAATCGTTACTCAGGGACACAGAATCGTTACTCAGGGACAGAATCACAGACATCGAATTGAATTAAAGAGTATGTCAGACAACACGCAGAGGAGTGGCAGAGGAGGCAATGTTTCAGGAGCGAGCAGACGTGGCAGCAGAGGAAGGGGTCGAGGCAGCACTAGTCGCAGCCAGAGGCCAGTGCTCCCGGTGTCATCCAGCGGTCGTGTCTGTCTCCACCGACAACCCTGCCGTCATCGATTGGTTGGCTCGGTCGTCTTCCTCTTCCCAGGTCACCTCTGACACCTACAGCCAACGGTCGGTGGGTACGTCAGACACAACCGTTAGTTGGCATGGCCCGGGAGCAAGCCCACTGAAATCACGTGTCCTCTACCTGCCCCTGTCCTTTGGTGTTCCCTCACCAAGCGAAGTATAGTATCGCATGCTGTGGGCTCAGCCCCACTGTACAGTGAGGAAGAGCTAACAGAGGGCGGTCAGGAACGGGGGGAGACATCCGCCTCTTCAGCAGCCAGGCGAAGAAGTACTGGCGAGGAGAGTGGCTCGGTAGCCGGTCTAGAGACAGGTCTGTCTCCTGACCCACACGCAGCCGAGGGGGCTAGTAGTGAGGCGGAGACCCTAATTGATGATGATGAGGCTGATCGCACTTGGCAGCCTCGTCGTCATCAGGCTATTGCTTCCGCATCATCAGGAGAAGAGGGTGCCAGCTTGGCAGCGAGCAAAACAGTCGGTGGGTTGCCCAGGAGGCAGCAGGGTCGCAGCAGTGTCAGTGGAGGCAAACGGCCACGGAGTAGTAGAGCACCAGCTCCACTGCAGCCTACCACCACGGCCAGTAGTGGTGCCGGTGTGCACGGAGGAGGAAGTAGCAGTCAGCCAGTGAGGAGTAGCGGGGGCAAAGTTTCCTACTCGGCGGTGTGGCAATTTTTCGTCAAGCCGCCCGAGGAAGTAAACGTAGCCGTATGTCGACTATGTGGCCAGAAAGTCAAGCGTGGCCAGGGGGCCCATGTTGGGACTACAGCGTTGCGTCAGCATATGCAGCGTCGCCATTCGGTGGCCTGGGAAAACCGTGATAAAGATACGGCGGTTCTGCCTGCCCCAGCCCCCCCCGCTCCATCACCCGCTCCGTTACTTGCTCCGTCACCCGACGTCAATCGCCCTCTATCAGCCAGTCAAGGCTCCAACACCTCTGCTGAGGGGAGTTGTCGCTCGTTGGCATCTTCCGCTCGTTCAGATGCTCCTTCTCCTGCTACTCCTCTTCACGGATTCCGTCAGCAGTCTTTCTTGGAATCCGTTTCCAAGAGACAACAGTTTGCGAGCACGCACCCGACGGTGCAGAAGCTGAACGTCCTCCTGTCCAAGTTGCTGGTGCTGCAGTCCCTCCCTTTCCAAGTGGTGGACTCAGCACCTTTCCGAGAAATGATGGCTTGTGCCAAGCCGCGGTGGTGGAGAGTGCCAAGCCGGCATTTCTTCGCCAAAAAGGCAGTGCCAGCCCTGCATTCACATGTAGAAGAGATGGTGGGCCAGTCTTTGAGCATGTCGGTCTCTGCCAAAGTGCACGGCAGCGCCGACGTGTGGAGCTGTAACTACGGTCAGGGACAGTACATGTCATTTACGGCCCACTGGGTGAACGTGGTGCCGGCACAGCCGCACCAGCAACTTGGACAGGTCACGCCGCTTTTGCCTCCACGTTTGCACGTCCTTGGTCCAGCAAAGATGTCCGCCTCTACCACCTCTTCTTCCGCCATGTGTCCTCAGCCGCCACCCCCGTGCCAAGTCCCATTACCCGACCGGCATATCACATGTGCAGGGCGCAACGGTGTCACGCTGTGCTGCACCTGGTATGCCTTGGCGAACGTAGTCACACAGGGGAGGAACTTCTGAGTGTAATGAACAGAGAAATCGACAGATGGCTGTCTCCGCGCAAACTGAAAATCGGAACCATGTTGACCGACAACGGAAAGAACATGGTGTCTGCTCTGCGTCAAGGAAGGTTGTGCCATGCGCCATGCATGGCTCACGTGTTCAATCTGGTTGTCAAGCGGCGGTTCCTAAAATCCACCATCCCACTGCAAGACATCCTTAAAATGTCACGTAAACTTTGCATGCATTTCAGCCATTCCTACACCGCAAAGCACACCCTCCTTGAGCTGCAGCGGCAGAACGGAATTCCACAGCATCGCCTGATCTGCGACGTTGCAACAAGGTGGAATTCAACCCTACACATGTTAGACCGCCTTTACGAACAGCGAAAGGCCATCACCGATTTCCTGATGTTACAAGCGGATAAAGGTACTCCCCTGTGTAACTTAGATGTCAGCCATTGGCAGCTCATGCGTGACACCTGCCGCTTGCTCAGGCCCTTTGAGGAGGCCACGCTATTCGTGAGTCGGCAGGACTATGGGATGAACGACGTCATTCCTCTGTTGCACGTCCTGGAACAAATGCTGTTAACAATGGCTGGTCAGGGTGCGGTAGACGTGGCGCACAGATCTCAACGCCACATGACCCCTGTGGGGGCAGGACAGGAAGAAGAGGAGGAGGTAGAGGAGGACATTGGTGCTCAGGAATTATTGAGTGAAATGGGTGGTTTTTCCACTCAGCGGACAGGAGTGGAGGAGCAGGAGCATCTGGTAGAGGAGGAGGAGGAGACAGAGGACCCAGACGCACCGTGGCAGTATGCTGTGGAGATGGAGGCAGGGAGTCCCTCGCATTCCTTGGCACAAATGGCCCATAGCATGCTCGGTTGCTTGCGTAGCGACAGCCGAATAATAACCATCAGACAGAGGGATGACTTTTGGCTGCTGTCCACCTTGTTGGACCCTCGCTACCGTTCAAAAATGGTGGCCTTTTTCACACCTGCTGAGAGAGGGAGGCCAAAATAACGTACTATAAAAACCACCTATGTAGTCAGTTGGTCTCTGCCTTTCTGCGCCAACGTCCATCCTCAGACACTGTGGGCCCTGTGCGCTCGCGTTCCGCTGCCATGGCAGCAGGGGAGGGGGGGGGGTGGTAGGAGCAGTGGCAGCTCCACCAGCAGCGGCTGCCTCAGTCTGCAGTCGATGATGAGTAGCTTTCTTCACCAGCGCAGTGAGGAAACTACTAACCAGCCCGCAGCAGCAGCAGCAGCAGCATCAGGTGGACCTGGAGCAGGACCTCAAACAACAGGCTTGGGCCTACTTGGACAGCACCCTGCCAACCGAGGTAGACAATCCCCTTGACTACTGGGCAACGAAACTTGACCTTTGGCCCCAACTAGCTGAATTTGCCCTTGAAAGGCTGTCATGCCCGGCCAGTAGCGTGGCATCGGAGCGCGTGTTTAGTGCGGCAGGAGGTATTGTAACTCCGCGGAGGACACGACTGTCCACCCAAAGTGTGGAGAGACTCACGTTTGTGAAAATGAATCAGGCGTGGATTAGTCTGGATTTCAAACCACCAGTTCCTGACACAACTGACTAAATCCGCCATGAATCATGCCCCAAACATGTTATTATTTTTAACATAGGCCTCTGTATGGCCTTCAATTTAAGCTGCTTACGCTTCGCCACTCTGCCATGGGCCCCTGTACCGCCTCCTCATGCTGCTGCCAGGTCCAGAGTGTGTCATGGGTCCCTGTACGGCCTCCCATTGCTGCTGTCTCCATCGCCACACTCTGCCATGTGCCACTTTCAGGTCTCCTCACACTGCTGGTGGGTTCCATTTTGTCATAGGGTGCTGGCAGATTACGGGCCTCCCATTGCTGCTGCCAGGCCCGTAATCTGCCATGGGCCCCCGTACCGACTCCTCATGCTGCTGCCAGGCCCGTAATCTGTCATGGGCCCCTGTACCGCCTCCTCATGCTGCTGCCAGGTCCAGAGTGTGTCATGGGTCCCTGTACGGCCTCCCATTGCTGCTGCCATCGCCACACTCTGCCATGTGCCACTTTTTCAGGTCTCCTCACACTGCTGGTGGGTTCCATTTTGTCATAGGGTGCTGGCAGATTATGGGCCTCCCATTGCTGCTGCCAGGCCCGTAATCTGCCATGGGCCCCCGTACCGACTCCTCATGCTGCTGCCAGGCCCGTAATCTGTCATGGGCCCCTGTACCGCCTCCTCATGCTGCTGCCAGGTCCAGAGTGTGTCATGGGTCCCTGTACGGCCTCCCATTGCTGCTGTCTCCATCGCCACACTCTGCCATGTGCCACTTTCAGGTCTCCTCACACTGCTGGTGGGTTCCATTTTTTGTCATAGGGTGCTGGCAGATTACGGGCCTCCCATTGCTGCTGCCAGGCCCGTAATCTGCCATGGGCCCCCCCGTACCGCCTCCTCATGCTGCTGCCAGGCCCGTAATCTGTCATGGGCCCCTGTACCGCCTCCTCATGCTGCTGCCAGGTCCAGAGTGTGTCATGGGGTCCTGTACGGCCTCCCCGTTGCTGCTGTCTCCATCGTCACACTCTGCCATGTGCCACTTTCAGGTCTCCTCACACTGCTGGTGGGTTCCATTTTGTCATAGGGTGCTGGCAGATTACGGGTCCTCCCATTGCTGCTGCCAGGCCCGTAATCTGCCATGGCCCCCTTACCGACTCCTCATGCTGCTGCCAGGCCCGTAATCTGTCATGGGCCCCTGTACCGCCTCCTCATGCTGCTGCCAGGTCCAGAGTGTGTCATGGGTCCCTGTACGGCCTCCCATTGCTGCTGTCTCCATCGCCACACTCTGCCATGTGCCACTTTCAGGTCTCCTCACACTGCTGGTGGGTTCCATTTTGTCATAGGGTGCTGGCAGATTACGGGCCTCCCATTGCTGCTGCCAGGCCCGTAATCTGCCATGGGCCCCCTGTACCGACTCCTCATGCTGCTGCCAGGCCCGTAATCTGTCATGGGCCCCCTGTACCGCCTCCTCATGCTGCTGCCAGGTCTAGAGTGTGTCATGGGTCCCTGTACGGCCTCCCATTGCTGCTGTCTCCATCGCCACATTCTGCCATGTGCCACTTTCAGGTCTCCTCACACTGCTGGTGGGTTCCATTTTGTCATAGGGTGCTGGCAGATTACGGGCCTCCCATTGCTGCTGCCAGGCCCGTAATCTGCCATGGGCCCCCGTACCGACTCCTCATGCTGCTGCCAGGCCCGTAATCTGTCATGGGCCCCTGTACCGCCTCCTCATGCTGCTGCCAGGTCCAGAGTGTGTCATGGGTCCCTGTACGGCCTCCCATTGCTGCTGTCTCCATTGCCACACTCTGCCATGTGCCACTTTCAGGTCTCCTCACACTGCTGGTGGGTTCCATTTTGTCATAGGGTGCTGGCAGATTACGGGCCTCCCATTGCTGCTGCCAGGCCCGAAATCTGACATGGGCCCCCGTACCGACTCCTCATGCTGCTGCCAGGCCCGTAATCTGTCATGGGCCCCTGTACCGCCTCCTCATGCTGCTGCCAGGTCCAGAGTGTGTGTCACGGGTCCCTGTACGGCCTCCATGTTGCTGCTGTCTCCATCGTCACACTCTGCCATGTGCCACTTTCAGGTCTCCTCACACTGCTGGTGGGTTCCATTTTGTCATAGGTGCTGGCAGATTACGGTCCTCCCATTGCTGCTGCCAGGCCCGTAATCTGCCATGGGCCCCCTTACCGACTCCTCATGCTGCTGCCAGGCCCGTAATCTGTCATGGGCCCCTGTACCGCCTCCTCATGCTGCTGCCAGGTCCAGAGTGTGTCATGGGTCCCTGTACGGCCTCCCATTGCTGCTGTCTCCATCGCCACACTCTGCCATGTGCCACTTTCAGGTCTCCTCACACTGCTGGTGGGTTCCATTTTGTCATAGGGTGCTGGCAGATTACGGGCCTCCCATTGCTGCTGCCAGGCCCGTAATCTGCCATGGGCCCCGTACCGACTCCTCATGCTGCTGCCAGGCCCGTAATCTGTCATGGGCCCCTGTACCGCCTCCTCATGCTGCTGCCAGGTCCAGAGTGTGTCATGGGTCCCTGTACGGCCTCCCATTGCTGCTGTCTCCATCGCCACACTCTGCCATGTGCCACTTTCAGGTCTCCTCACACTGCTGGTGGGTTCCATTTTGTCATAGGGTGCTGGCAGATTACGGGCCTCCCATTGCTGCTGCCAGGCCCGTAATCTGCCATGGGCCCCCCCGTACCGACTCCTCATGCTGCTGCCAGGCCCGTAATCTGTCATGGGCCCCTGTACCGCCTCCTCATGCTGCTGCCAAGTCCAGAGTGTGTCATGGGTCCCTGTACGGCCTCCCGTTGCTGCTGTCTCCATCGCCACACTCTGCCATGTGCCACTTTCAGGTCTCCTCACACTGCTGGTGGGTTCCATTTTGTCATAGGATGCTGGCAGATTACGGGCCTCCCATTGCTGCTGCCAGGCCCGTAATCTGCCATGGGCCCCCGTACTGACACCTCATGCTGCTGCCAGGCCCGTAATCTGTCATGGGCCCCTGTACCGCCTCCTCATGCTGCTGCCAGGTCCAGAGAGTGTCATGGGTCCCTGTACGGCCTCCCATTGCTGCTGCCAGGCCCGTAATCTGCCATGGGCCCCGTACCGACTCCTCCATGCTGCTGCCAGGCCGTAATCTGTCATGGGCCCCTGTACCGCCTCCCTCATGCTGCTGCCAGGTCCGAGTGTGTCATGGGTCCCTGTACGGCCTCCCATTGCTGCTGTCTCCATCGCCACACTCTGCCATGTGCCACTTTCAGGTCTCCTCACACTGCTGGTGGGTTCCATTTTGTCATAGGGTGCTGTATGGCCTCCCATTGCTGCTGCCAGGCCCGTAATCTGCCATGGGCCCCCGTACCGACTCCTCATGCTGCTGCCAGGCCCGTAATCTGTCATGGGCCTCTGTACCGCCTCCTCATGCTGCTGCCAGGTCCAGAGTGTGTCATGGGTCCCTGTACGGCCTCCCATTGCTGCTGCCTCCACCGCCACACTGTGGCTCCACACTCTCTGGTTTTGGCCCCGTGACTGCCCAAATGAGTGAAGTGTGCGGTGATTCTAAGATCGACGGCACTCATCTGCATGTCATACTGACTGACAGTATTATTTCTCTTCCCCAGCAGACTCCAAGGGCATTTAAATTAAAGGTACAGTGTTCTGCACTAATATAAAGGCTCTCTGAAGTCTAGAAACACCCTTTTTATAAGTTTAAAAATTCGCAGCGAATATATTCGACTCAAATCGAATTTATTCTGCGAATTCGCCGAATCAGCCGAATCGAATTTTTGAATAATTCGCTCATCTCTAGTATTCTTTGTTCTGAATAACTTTGTAAAACTACAACATAAGCACAAACAAAAATATGTGTCAGTACATTAAACATTATACAACAGCTTCATCCCATCAGTGAGTGTACTCACGGACAATTCCACCATAAGTCCAGGAATAGCTTGGAGCTCCACTGTATGCTACTTGCTAGTTTCAGAAGCAGTCACGAAATGGAGGATAGGAAGTTCCACGTTAGAGGTTATTGCCTCTATGTGAAAATGACCACTTCCTGACAAAATCCTGATATAACTAGGCATAACTCTAACCAATAGATGGCAGCAACATCACATAACATTACAGTATATTACATACATTATTTTCAACAATATGGACAGAACACACTGCATCTATTGTTTTACAGATGTTTTCAGCCACCTACCTCAAACATACTTACCTTTGGAAGCAAAAGGCCTCTAAGGGTCTCTGAGGATCCCAAAATCAGACCTGCCACCACCTACCTTCCTATCTGTAGCCCAAACACTGCCATCCCTGCACCAGGCTCACCCAGGGTCATATCTACTTCTGAAACCCCAACATATCCATGCATATCATCCTGCTCTGATTCCCACTCCATGGCTCTCAAAGCCCTTTCTTCTCACTGAAGAGACTATATTAAACATATACTAACTCAAAAAGACTTATTAACATTTAATACATAAATTTTGAGATATTTATCATTCTTAAATTTGTTGCAAGGGTTTGAATTGATTTAGGACAGACTCCAAATGACTAAACGCGACCTTAAAATTCATATGCAATTGATTATTCAATGATTGTAAGAAAACAACAGTGACACCTCAAAGACCTTGATAATAGAGGGGTGGGGCAAGAACAAACAAATTAGGGGTCTGCCAAAGGCATCTACAGATAATTACAGGACTTTACCCCTCTAGGCCAACAACCTTAGATTGTAGTTTGATTTCACTAAAGTGTAACGTTTCATAAATAACACTGGACTGAGCACTACCAGAATTTTTCTACCTCTTTTAAACTCTGTGGTTATGTTATATAACTTTTGCTGCAATGGTTTTACCTCAATTCTTTGAGGTTGCTTATTTGTAGTGATGGCACCCAATGCTTCGCAGTATTGTATCCTAAAAATCTTTCTAAAGAAAATATATTTAAATAAAATATAGTTAATTGCATTTTAGTACAAATTTGAGTGAATGTGTAGTCAAATCTTTTTTTCCTTGTGTGGCGACATATTAGAACCCCTGTTAAGTTTTCATTGAAGTCTGGGTTATTAGTGAAATAATCAATCCTTTTTATTTGTTCTGAGGACTTTTGTCACTGGGACATAAAGTGATGGGAAATCCTAAATTTAGAATTGTCACCAGAACAAGAGAATATGGAAAATCCTGCAAAGAGAAAAAATGTCCTGGTGATAAATGTACAAAATATAATTTTTCCATGAATTTGGAAAGATTTCCTCTCACTTCTCACAGGACAGGAAGTGAAGGAAAATCTCCCCAAAGTCAAGGAAACACACAATACCAGACTGTATCCAAAACAAAAATGAAAATTCTTATCTTTAGATATGCTTTAAATAAAGCTTTGCTCAAATCAAATATTTAGCATCATATTACATTATTATGTTCTGCTGTGTATTTATTCGGTATGCACAGAAACATAAAAAAGTCATTTTATAGTTGCTTTAGGAAGGTTAAGATTATTTTTCAGAGCAGATGTTAGCTTAAGAAATCATACTGTGACATTTTACTTCTGTGTTAGAACATAACTGACTGAAAGGAATCTAATTTATTGTAGCCATCCAGGCACATTTTAAAAATAGTCTGCACAGCTATACCTTCATTGATGTCCTGTTCATTTCTCTAGATCATCTTGTGAATCTTACTTAGAGCAAATATACAAAAATGATATAACCATTGCTGACTTTTGGCAGGTCCTTTGAGGGAATAAATACTGTGATATAAGACTAAATAAACATAAGAAAATCTGAGTTTACAATCCTTTTAGTAGCAGGACACACACACACTAGAGAAAACACTATATATTTATACTTATTTCATTGTGGATATCATTATGAAGGCTTGTATACCTACAGTATGTTATATACACTTACAGTATATTCAGTAAATATAACATATGGGGACTTAACAACACACGTCATGTGGCACACGGTTCTGACACAGGGAGGGCCCAAAATAACTTTCACTAAACTTAAAACTAAAATGCAACATTTTTAGTTTCAGCAAATGGGACTTCATACAGTAGCCAGATACATTCAATCTTTCATTATGTTTAATGGAAACCCACAGGCAAAGGCTATTAAGACCACCTTTGATGACCTCTCCTCTGCGAATGACTGTTACCTGGCTCTCATGCTGATGCAGCGCAGTGGGTATTTTCTAAGACACAACTACGTAGAGCAGGGGCTCTGACTTCACTCTGATTGTATAGGCTGCATATTTGATTTTGGTCATTAACTCAGAAAATATAAAAACCAGAGAAAGCAAGGCAAACTGTGGTTTTCAAAGTAAGTCACTAATGGGAGCTTTCATATTCATTTGAACACAAGTTAATTTACAGTAAATCTTTATTACAAGAAGTATATAGGCTGGTATTGCTCACTTTTTTTCTGAAAATGTTAATTGCCTGGCTGTCTTTAGAGTCTTTGCTCCCAGATTAGCGACCATTGAGAAGATTGCCCCTTTACATTACTGATCATTAGGAGATTACATTGGTTGTCAGTGGGAAAAGATCTCACTGCTATAGCAAATTAGTTACAGAAGATTGTACCATACCATTGTGAT